CAACTTTCCCGCTTTCAATTTTCCCACTGCACAAGATGGTATGTAGCAGTTCCAGTATTTCATCAATACAATATTTCTGTTATTTTGTTTATGTTTTAAAAAGTTTTGGCATATCTCTTATAGGGCTTTCTCTTGTACCTGCTTGTAACTTCTATCTGGAATCTTTTACAATTTGGAGGAACAAATTCTTTTGAAATTAACTGCTTGTTCCTCAATTTTGGTCTTAAATCAATTTCTCCAGTCTGCACCCACCAGACGTCATGTTTTTTTATTAGATGAACATCATAATATACCAAATAATAGAGAGGTCTTGTTCTATTACCAGATTTATTTATGCTTATATGGAAAATGAGTCTATATTGACATTTGACAAGAGAATTAGTTAATCTCCAAGCCTAAGGTCTGGATACCCCAGTGACATGGCCTCAAAAAGAAGCGGGAATGAGTCTAAGTTGTGGGAAGTTTGTAGCTTTGGTTTCAGCTGTGAACTTCAGTGTCACAGTTATATTTGACACTTAAGGGCAAACCACCTTTTTCAGGACAAGAAAAATGATGTTTTCTGGTTAAAAATATGGAAATGGAAAGATGAAATGATGACAAGCTCGAAAGATTTAGAATTTTTTTTTCTTTTAAACAATAGTTTTAACGTTTAAACCCAACTTGCTTTGCTTCTTTTGTCTACTATTCCTTAGTAAGAAGCTTTTAACGACAGGACCTTGGATCAATGAAATGCTGGTACAGGATCTATGAAGACACCTGAGACAAGGAGAAGGAAGAATAACTCAAGATCTAAACCTCTTCCTCCTTCAAAGAGGTTGCGGCTAGAGGCACAGAGAGTTCTGAAGGAGAGGGTTCAAGATATTGCTGATAAGAAAGGCATAAAGCTGAGATTCTGCAACCTGAAGGATTGCGAGAATCATATTCAGTCCCTTGACAGTCCATGTGCATCTGTAAGGATGGAGATAGGGTGGCCACCCGGAGTTCCATTTGCTCATCCACATGATCTTCCAAACAAGGCAAAGATTGGATTTCTTGAAACATATGAACCTGGTTGGTCTGCAACCCATGATATGGAGTTAAGTCTACTCGAAACTGGAGAGCCAAGTCAACACACTCCTCCTCCTAACTGTAACTGTGACTCCCTCATTTTGTCTTCTTGATTAATACATTACTTGCTCCATTCCTATGCATGCATTTATATGGCAATTGCTGTGTGCCAAGTCTTTTGTGTGTTGTTATCAGTTATTACATAATTCTTAACAAAAACGGAAACTTGGTGGTGGGGAACTGGATAATAAGAGCATAATTGCATTCAGGTGAAGTGACGGGAACATTTTATCTTTGACAAATTTAAAGCAGGCAATTGAATGTTCCAACATATGACTATATATAATTGAAAATATTTTGTTCACTTCTTCCATTCTCTCTTCCCCCATTTCTTTTTCCATGTGATGTCTCTTTACCGACAGTTTAGCCAATTGATATCTGATTTTTTTGACTTGTTCTTGCAGGAATCCATCAGCGGAGTTCTCAGAATGAGGGTGCCTGTGTAAATCCATGCTGCTGTATTTTCACCTTAGGTATCAATTGATCAGGATGTATTAGATAGGGTTGAGAGCTTCCTTTTTTTTTTTTTTTTTTTTTGTATATAAAATTTTGGAATAATGATGCAAGGTGGTTACTGGTTTAGACTTCCAATGGTGATCTATTACCTGCTTACTATTGTTGTGATGTGTGTTATAAATTTGTAATCAAGAAAATGATGAAAGTTTTGGAGAAATGGAAATGCAGGCCGGCCAAGCCCAAATGTAATATGTAAGACTGGGCCTTTTCCTCTTCTATATGTTTTGGTGTTAAATGTGCTTATTAAGACAGTCAAAAACTATTGTCACAATCATGTGTTTATCAATGTTATTAAAAGTCATAGATAAGTAACCAAAGACTTTATGGTCGAGTGACATGATTGTATGGACAGATAATGCATTGTAATATATTAAGTAGTATTAAAAAAAAAGAAGTTATAGATAAGTAGCAGTGAAGATCATAGAATAAAGGGGGGATATAAAGCAGGTTAACCGACCACGCATGGTTAATTCTGGGGCGGCACACGAGACGTGAGTTTGACTGAACTAAAATAATGATTTTAAATTTTTTTAGATTGGAAGAGAAAAGGAGAAATGAAAAATGCGTGAATGAAATAGGTGTAAGGTGTGTGGGTCACGTGACAACGTGCACTCCAATTTAACTTTGGTTTAAAAAGAACCAAAAAAAAAAAAAAAAGGGAACAAATCATAACAATCCCAACCCATCCAAGTTTGCCCTTCAAACAGGGGAACCACAATAACACATGACATGATACCCTCCCGCCTCCCGTTTTATTTTTTATTACAATATCAAAATATTTTCTTAAAATAAATAATTCGTACAAATATATGTTAGTAAGATCTAAACATGTAATTATATATTCAAAGGTGACCAACAAAAAAAAAAGGTGATAAAATGCATGGATTTCTTAATCTTAATGAATACGGACAGAGTACTAATACGTACTCTACAAATTGATTATATTAGTACATGTGTGTCGGCAATTAAAAAATAAAAGGGAGGCAGAATTGATCAAGTGATACATTTTGTGTGGTTTAAAGAAAAAAAAGAAGGATGTAGATGGGTAGGTTGGTGGGTAAACTAAGGAATAAATAATAAATAATAATAATGGAGATGAAGAGGGAGTGGGTAAATGCAGATAAGTTATTGAGTTTGAAAAATGATAATAATAATAATGGTGTGAGAGGGTTGGGCATTAAAGTATGCATGGCTGCCATGGGGGGTGTGGCCTTTAATAATGGCTTTAATGAAGGTTTTACCTTGACCATTTCATAATTGCATTTCCTATTCCCTATTCCCTATTCCCTATTCCCTATTCTATTCAATTCGCAGCTACTGTAAGACTGTAAGTAATCAACAACCAACCCTGTCTCTGCACTGCTGCCCACTGCCACCCTGCCTCACTTTTTTTTTTTTTTTTTTTTTTTTAATAATCTAAGTTTCTGACTATATCATATCTACTACTTTTATGTTCTATAAATATTTTTTTGTATAAAAAAATTACAACTTGATCGCAATAGTTAATTTTTGATTTACAATTGGGATCAAATTAGTGATATTTTAATTTAAAAGTATAGGCTAATTTCGGTTGATTACAAAAATTTGTACCATAAACAATGAATATAGAGATGGTGATAAAATCGAAGCGTGACAAATTGGACAGCACATTTGGAGGGCATAGATATGTAGGCCAAACAAACGCCAAAAAATTGAACGCAACCCAAGCACGTACTTGAGTGTTTCCTTTTTATTTATTTATTATCATATGGCGTCAAAGCAGAGGTGACACCAAACCAACCATTAATCCCACTACATTTTGATTCCTCTTTTCACATTCACACCAATTCATTAGATTTGTGGGGATTCCACTTTATTTTCTCTCACTCCTAATCATTCACCATATCATATCAACGTGAAAATAATCTAAATTCACATTGATTTGTTTTTACAAAATTAAACTCTTATTGTCTAATTTATAATTATTTAACTTGACACGTAAAGATGAGAGATGTGAATCGTGAAATTCAATTAACCAATAGAATAGGTGTTACAAGCATATCAGAAATAGACTCCTAAATAACGCTCAGTAAAAATCTAAACTAACTACACTATTCTATAATAATATTTTGACTAATACAATTGTGACATAATAATAACAATAATAATAATAATAATACTAACAGTAAATACTAATTTAAAAATTAGTAATAAAAGAATAATGTCCCAATATGAATTATTAAGTGAATGAAATATAATTTTTGTACTAAAATAATATGAGTTGTGTTTACTCAATACACATATTCATTGTCACACTAAAAATACAAATAATAAAAGAATAATTAATGATGAGAATAATCTCAAAAGAGTAAAAAGTGAGAAAAAAAGAAAAGAAAAGAAAATAATAAGGTAAAAAGGTTGTATAGTGATTAGTGCAGGAGAAGAAATAGGCACGCGGCAAGGATAGTTATAGGCTTAGGAAAACGTTCCATTGGGCCCACTACCACAATCACAATGTCCTCCAACCAAGAAACTGCCAAGTGACAACCCAAACACCGGAAACTTACGCCCCATCCCCTACTCTTACTCTGCCCTTTTTTATCTTTTAACCCCTCCTTTTTTGCTTTACTCGCTAAATTCAATCTTGGATAACCGTTTCATTCATCATTAAATTTTATTAAAAAAGTGATATATATCCGATAGGGGTGATCAAAATATTACTCCGGGTATTATTTTTTAATTTCAATTGAGCAATGATATAAGCACGGAATTTTTGAGATTTAGCTAATATACATTGTACGAGATATCTTTAAATTTATACCGTACTCAGATTAATTTTTATTTGTACCAAGTCGGTCCAATTAAAAAACAAAATGTAAGCCAAATTGATTTTTTCATATGAGAGAGGAGTCAAACTTCTGATCTTTTTTAAGAGATGAGAGTGCATGACCTCTCACACGAACCAATCTGGTTAATAATAAACTATTTATTACATTATAATTTAAAAATTGAAAATTAAATAACCTCTCATATATAGTTATTCTGATGAGTATTTTAGCCAAAATTTGATGACCATATAAATAAAGAAAATGATTTTAAAAAGGTAAACAAATTTATATTTTTAAATTACGGTGGTAACCATATTGCCTATAAAATTGTGATATTGATCAACAAAGTAATTACTTTACAAAATTTAGAATTTGCATATAATATTATATTATTCATTGAATATATTTTATGACCGTCTACATTAACTTCATTTTTTTTTTTCACTGATTTTTAAAATTTGATTTGTTTAGTTGGTAAACGCACCCGCAAATGGAGTATTCCCTTTAATTTCTTTATTTAGGGAAGGAGGAAGTAAATGAGAACCTCACTTTCTGACGATAGACACCATTTCTCCGTCAAATAAAGCTACAAATTCTCTTCCTCTATAAATTTATCATATATTATAGACATCTATCTTTTTCTCTCTCTCTCAAAATCTGCCAAATAAACCCCTAACATATAAACCCCACCCCTATATCACAAACACAATATCGCATTTGCATGCGTTCGTTCTCTCCCCCTCAGCTCTCATCAACCCCTCCCCGATTGAAACTGCAAATATAGATATATAACCGCATGCTTATTATATCCTCATGGCTGTTGAAGCCCGACGTCTCAATATTTTGCCTGCCCAGCTTCTCACCAGTAGGTATGTCTATCTTTTGGATTTGTATATATACACGTACTTCAAATATGGATGCGTTTATTTACTGTTTTGGTTTTGTTTGATGCAGAGAAACAATGAATGACATTCAAGGTAACGGAAATCTTTATGCCGCCAGTGCGGTGGGGTATGGAACGGCGCCCTTATCGGGGAACCCAATAGCGGAACCGCTATTCCCCATGTACTGCTCCTTGGCGATCGATTCGTTTCCAGCGAAGAATGCAATGAAGTCCGACAGCGGCCTCACCTATGGTCTTCCGCCGTCGCGGAAACGGTCACGGGAGGAAGCCAATCCGTTGATCAGTTATCCGGCGTTCCAGAACACTAGTAACCGTTGCGGTTCGTTCAGTTTCTTAGGCGAAGATATTTCGCTGCAAATCCAACAACAGCAGTTAGAGGTCGATCGCTTCATCGTTCAACATGTAAGCGAGTTTTCTAATATTTTATTATCGATTTTTTTTTTGAATTACTGTTTTGATTTGTTATAATTTGCAAGTGTTTTGTATTGAACTGTACTGTGTGTATATGATTGTGCGTCAGATGGAGAAGGTTAGAATGGAAATTGAAGAGAGACGAAAGCGATATGCAAGGAGCATTGTAGCGGTGGTTGAAGAAGGAATCCGAAAGCGATTGAGGGCGAAAGATGAAGAAATTGAGAACATCGGAAAACTGAATTGGGCATTGGAAGAGAGAGTGAAGTCTCTGTGCATAGAGAACCAGATATGGAGAGACCTGGCGCAGACGAACGAAGCCACAGCCAACGCTCTACGGAGCAATCTGGAACAAGTCCTGGCCCATGTTCAGGACGTGGAGCAGCGCAATGGCGGAGTAAGGGTAGGGCAGGCGGGGGCGGAATTGATGGATGATGCGCAATCGTGTTGCAGCAGCAATCACGCCGGCGGTTGTGGCGTCGAAGCTGAGACGGAAGGGTGCAGTTTAGCAGAGACCGGTGCGGAAGTAGGAATGGATAGAGGCAATCTCCAGGACGACGGCGACGTATGTGGAAGAAAGAGTCAAAGTTGCGAGAATAATGGCAGTGGCAGCGGCAGCAGCAGCAGATTATGCAGAAACTGTGGGAAAGCGGAGTCGTGCGTCCTGCTTTTGCCGTGCAGGCATCTCTGCCTCTGTACTGCTTGTGGTTCCTCCCTCCTCACTTGCCCAATCTGTAAATCCACCAAAAATGCTAGTCTTCGCGTCAATTTCTCCTCTTAGATAAAATCAAAACTCCATCAGTAGTTGAGTTGTAGATCAGATTTTTGCAAATTCTGGTTTCAATTATCGAACAGAATTTTACGGGATGTCCGTTTAACTCGATCATACATTCATTCTATTTTTCCTTTTTTTTTTTTTAATTAATCTAATCTAGTTTTTTTCATTCTATTTTTTTTAATTATAAAAAAGTGAATTAAACAAGTTTCAATAGCTCAGCAGCAGCAGATCAGATCAAATTATCATCATCGGTGGTGCGTATACGCCAAATCTCTTATGCTTCAACTGAAAAGTAAAGTCGCACTGTAGTATTGAATGGGGGAGGAGGAGGAGCGGGGCGTGGGGTGCGGATGCGTGAGAGAGCGTGAAGTCAACTGTGGGGAGTGAAAATGACACGTGCAGCGTAAAAGCTGACACGTAGGTCGCGCGCAAATGTCGCTGTTGTGGCGCAAAGGTGAGAATGAAATCAGTGCAATAACAAATAAAAAAATAAAGATAAAGAGGAAAATGCGGATAGAGTGGTGAATGGGGCCAAGCATAGGGCGGAGCAGAGAGCAGGGTAGGGCCAGTGCAATGAATGTATTAAAAGAGAGGTGAGGTGTGTGGCGTGGAGTCTTGTGGTGGTCCGCTGGACTGGTGAGAGTCCCGCCAAAACTCTGATAATAATGATGATCAATAAAGAGATAAAGTCAAGGAAAAAAATTAAAAATTAATAAAAGGAAAGAAAGAAACGTAAAACTCGTTGATTCCGTAATGGCGTAAACTGTATATGGACAGTGACAAGATAGACGGCGACTCATAGACTCGTCGTTAATTTAAATTAAGAAAAGAAATGAGACGGTGGGAAGAAGCTAAGCTAAGGGAGGCGGCGGAACCTAGATAGATAGCTAGGTTAGTTGTTGGGATTGAGATCATCATCTCTTATTTATTTATATTATATATCCAATAATGTCAATTAAGTATCTTTTTATCTAAAGTAATACTGCTCCGTATCAATTACTAATTAATATATAAATTAAGTGGGATTATAGTAAATAATAAAGATGAAAATGGGGTATAAATTAAAATAAAGGAATTGAAGGTGGCAGAGGGTGCTCCACCGGGCAGTGACGGTGCAGGAAACGGTCGGGGTCCGGTAGTGAAGGTCCCATTGCATGCATGATATGATGCACCGTGGTGTGGTTGAATTGATGGGATATGAATATGATGCCCTCACCTCACTCACCCTGTGGTCTTTTTTCAATACGTATAGTACTTGTCCTTTTCCTTCTCCTCACTTTATTTTAATTAATCATTAATGCCTCCCATCCCCATTCAACAAGCTACAATAATGTACTAGTTTTCATCTTAAATTCGTGTTTAATTAGCACATTAATAATTTAAGTCCATCATTATTTCCAGCACCTAGTTAATTCTTTTAAATTTAATACCATATAGAGGTTACATTATGTTACCAGATAAAAAGTAGGGGACAAAAATGTATTCATTAGTGAGTATAAGATGATCAAGAGTTCAACCAAAATGGTCATATATACAACTTTGATATGATTCATGATGTATGTTTAACACCACATTTTAATTAGCGGTTCTCTGGGTTGGCATGGACCAAGACCGATTCTATGAATAGACGGGTCGAGAAGGTCTAGAATAGTCGTCAAACCCAAAGTCTCCCTTTCTAGTAATAAATGTGCCTTATATAGACAGATTTAAGGACACATATTGGGATACCGGCATGTATTACACATGTATAGTATCGATTGGCTGGTTAGAGAGACTATGACAAGTATTATATTAAGCCACTCAAGATGCCTTATTACAACGTACCCCATTAGTGGTTATTTACATAATATATATATATATATATATATATATATATATATATATATATAAAGTCATTCTGATATTTTTATATTCCATAGCTGTTAATTTTTATTTTAGATTTGAAAGCTAAGATGAATTTTAGATAGAGCAAATTACACTTTTGGTCCTATGACTATAGGGGGCGTGTTAATTTCGGTCCGTGACTTTTAAAACTAACAATTTAGTCCTTTAACTATGCTTTTTTTAGCAGATTTGGTCCTTCCAGCCAAATCACCAGTAGAAATTGGCCGGAAAAATTTAAACCTTTTTAAATTTTGTATTCATGAGGGCAAAATGGTCTTTTTATGTAGCTTCTTCTTCTTCTTCACACACTCATCGCCGAGCCACCATTAACCCATCACCGCCACTGCTGTATTGACCAGCACTACTAGCCATAGCAGTTCCGACAGCGAGTTAAGCCCAAGAAACGACGGCGTAGAGAAACCAGTGCGGAGGCACAACCTCCAAGAAAACTCTGACCACTCATCTTAACGCCGACAACGTGAGCTTCCAGGCTGTCGTGCAACAGTTCACCGGCTACCACACTGCGACAACGTTCTCCAAGGCACATAAGGGCCCCATCAACTTGAACTTTGGAGTTCAGGATGAGGATGACGACGATTTTGATGCGGTTTTCGAGATGATGAGATATGGTGGTAACGAAGCCCGATTTCATTGTGACTATTGCCGGAAAGAGCAGCGACGGTGGGTTAATGGTGGCTCGGTAGTGAGCTACGCGAAGAAGAAGAAGAAGCAACTACGTAAAAAGACCATTTTACGCTCATGAATAAAACATTTAAAAAGGTTTAAATTTTTCCGGCCAATTTCCACCGGTGATTTGGCCGGGAGGACTAAATCTGTTAAAAAAAGCATAGTTAAAGGACTAAATTGTTAGTTTTAAAAGTCACGGACCAAAATTAACACACCCCCAATAGTTATAGGACCAAAAGTGTAATTTGCTCATTTTAGATATATAAAAGTTGCCGAAATTGACTGAACTTTAAATTCATGGCAATTACGTCCAATGTTGGATACATGGAAAAGTTTTGATTTCAGATCAGATCAGACATCAATTAATGAGTTGATTGTTTTAAGGGGTGAGTACAGTGATATGATCAGAACAAGAATCTGGTCCATAATAGTCGTTATATATTTTATTGCAATCTGCTACGTACATAAATACATTGATAATGACAGTATGCCATTTTTCTATATTTAATAATAATAATTAAAAATATAAATATAAAGAAAGCAAAATGCAGGCAGGGCAGATGGTGGTTCTGGGAAATGAAGCAGAAGTTGACACGAAATGGTGCAAGCCTCCATGCAACATATATATATATATATATATATATATATATATATATATATATAGTGTTGGTTGTTTGAATCTGAAGAATGCATGCACGCAAATCATATAATGCAATACATATCCACTTCAGAAGAGATTCCCTACATACTATACGCGCCTCACAGAAAAAGAGGACTCGTCATGTCTATTTTTGGACACAGATAATGCTTAACAATGCCATCTTTAATATCATGTCATACCAAAACTTCTTGTTTGGATCTCAAACATCTTTTTCCTCCAACAATTATTTCATATATATATATATATAGGGATGCACTCAGGTGCGAATAAGTGCTCAGGAGGGAAATGCGAACGAATCAACGCGCGACACGTGTCCGGATCTAATAACTTAAAAAAAAATGCGGTGGTATTTTCGTAAATAATTGAACATCGAAGTGCAAGTAAAATCACTTACAAGTGCACCTACTTTCACCTATAAGTGCATGTAATTTTGCCTTGTTAGCATTCACTTTCCGCAAACATTCATGCACCTGGGTGTGCTTATAACTATATGTGCAACTATTTATAACTATAGGTGCAACTACTTATAACTATAGGTGCACCTACTTTCACCTATAAGTGCAAGTAATTTTGCCTTGTTATCATTCATTTTCCGCAAACATTCATGCATCTGGGTGTGCTTATAACTATATGTGCAACTATTTATAACAATAGGTGCAACTACTTATAACTATAGGTGCACCTACTTTCACCTATAAGTGCATGTAATTTTGCCTTGTTAATATTCATTGATCTGAGTTCAGCGGATAGTAATACCCCTAAAAACCACTCGCAAACATTCATACACCTAAGTGCAACTACTTATAACTATATGTACAACTACTTAGAACTATAGGTACAACTACTTAGAAATATCATGTCATACCAAAACTTCTTGTTTGGATCTCAAACATCTTTTTCCTCCAACAATTATTTCATATATATATATATATATATATATATATATATATATATATATATTCCAGGGCATTTACCGTTTTCAATATTTATCCCCGATTATTCTATAGTTTTTAATTTTAAAGTAAGAAAATGAATGATTATTGGATTTATTGCGGGCCCCATCAATCGTATGGTAAAAATACAAGAATGAAAATATAAACTTTGAATTCATTGTTGAAATTACCAATGAATCGGCCAAAATTTGTAGGGCATATTACGATGATTCATCCAAAACTTAATTTCGTCTCATTTCATTTAATTGTTATGATTAAATTAATTTGGTACGTCTTCGTGAGTTGGTGATAATAAAGTAGGTCCGAAGCGTATAACGTGGGGCCCATGAGGCCATAATACGACGGGAGCAGGCAACAAAGTCGGCATTGAATGACGAGGTAGCAAAAAACAAAACAAACTTGTTTGGTTGGATTACGAACACCCAACAAACTAAATTAATGCTCCATTTTCTCACTCCTATTTCTTTAATAAAGCATTCCTTTTTTAAAGATTATATAGTTAATATGATATTATAAAATAAAATTTATATACTTAAAAATTGTTCTAAAACCAATATACAATACAAATGTCAATTTTGGAAACTAAAAAAAAAGTTTAAAGAAAATAAACTAATACCGAGTAAAAAGAAAATATTAGATTAGATTTGAAATCGCCTATTATGTATTTGACATCGGTTCAAGTGATCAATCCCAATTCAGTACAATATGAAATTTGGAGAACACAACGGGAAGATCTTGTACAAATATTAAGGGGGCGTTTTTCATAATAATTTGAAACTTGTGCTTTAGAACGTTGATTTGTAATTAATTTCATTGATTTAAGGGATCTAGTTTGATATTCAATTGACTATACTTTTTTTTTTATCAATTTATTTAAATTAATAATTCAAAACACTATCATCAGTTATAAATTTGGGGGTTGTGTTTTATGTGTTATGAATATTTTGGTCATGCTTATCAAAAATTATATTTATTATTGTAATTCAATTTTATTTGTGTAATGATTGGTCAACTTTTAAAGTGACATATTCAGTAAATCTAAATAAATAGTATAAGAACAACTTAAGGTAGCGTAAAATATAAGCGTGACTAACATGTTCTGATATATATATTTCTTTTTAAAAAAAACCTTACTGGGAATGAAAATAAAATGGGAAAAGGTTGTCTTAGAGATATTAAAAATTAGTGGACATGGACCCCACAAGATCCGGACCGTCTGTCTCTTTGTGTCCGGCATAGACTCCCGGCCAAACACGTGATTTCGATGCCCCTGCGTAGTCCCATTTAAAGATCAAATAATTTATTTTTGTTCCCCTCCATTGGATGTAATAATAATTTATTTTTTTTTTAAATGCATCATCTTAAAAAAATTCAGGCCAGGCATTCTTGTTAATAGGAGTCTAATTTTACAAGTATAATCTGCATTAAATCTTATAATAATAAAAATGACAAATGATGATTTTCTTATAAATCAAAGGATGAAGGATATTTTATGAAAAACTTTACTATTGACAAATATTTTATATAAAATAAATCAAAGTAGTATTATTTCGTCTAAAGTGAACAGATCCCTTGTGTGCACCGACATTTGGTCATATTTGTTGTGCCATTGAGTCATTTCCCAAATGCTTTGTCGAATCGGAGTGTAGGGACCCTTAAGATTGAATATTCAACCTTTGAAGAATAAAATAAATCAAAGTAGTACTCCGTATTATTTAAGGCATTGATATCTATCTGCAAACTTGATATAATAGTGGAGGTAGGACCATAGAATATGGCTTCATTAAATTACAAATCTGCCGTCTAGATTAGGTTAATAATAATAAATAATCGTGGGAATTAGTGATCGGAAGCATCATTATGAATAAAGTAAAAAGAAAAGATGGGAGCATGGGGCATAGCGCATGTAGAGTCATAAGATGATTATTGTTCACAGATCATGTGACATTTAACAATAATTCCACTGAAAACTGTACGTGCTAAATAAGCGTAATTTAAGAAATGATGTTGGGCAATAATTGATTTTAAGTACAATTATTAGAAACAGTTGTTAACATGGACCGCATTATAGTTTGTGTTTAATTTGCTAATCAAAATAATAATCTATATGTATATATATTATAATGCTTTATCATACGGAGTTTTTAAAAATCACAAATCAAGTTCATCATACAGAGTCTTTCTAATGCGATTTGTGAAAAAGAATTTAATCCCGAGCTTGCGGTGCATTTAAAATAAAAAAATAAAATAATGAGGCCTTATTATTATGTATGTATTGGGTTGAGAGTGTAAAGTGAAGTGAAACATGTCACATTGTCCTGGCTAGCTGTCCAGCTTGAAGATAGATAGATTGATATCCCCAATTTCATTGAGTGGGAAAAGCAAAGGAATCCCACTGTACAATGCACGTTACTGTTACTATTACTATATACATTTTTGGAACCTTTCCTTTCCTTTTATCAGCTCAGGCAGCACTACATATTTATTTACCCACCCAACTCAATCTATATATCTATCATCTTGGAATCAATAATTTTAACTTTTCATCCACTGCCAATTTTTATTTTATTTTTTAATTTTATGATGGTGGTGGTGCAGTGGTCCCTCCCTCAACTGCTTTCCTTGGCTTCAGAGTTCTCAAATTGAACACAGCAGAGTGAGCAGACCTAACCACACAGGCACAGTAAAAATTAAAGAGAATAATTAAAAGAGGAAAGGGTTATTGGTAGTTGTCCAGTTGCATGCCTGCAGTGAACAGCTACATACACTATATTGCCTATGAAACAGACAAAAAGTAACAGAAATGATGGGTGATAATAATCCATCCTGGCCGGACTGTCAAAAATTAAAGCCAATTCAATAGTTAAAGATTCCAGGCCACCATATCTCATCTCATCTCATCTCTAGCAATAAACAAACAGGATGCATGATGATGAGCCATCTATCTATCTATCTTGCACAATACAATCTACTGCAACTTTATTTGACAATTTCTATGACTATATATCCTGAGCAACTTTACAGGAATGAATGTGGTTGAAAGGTGGAGTGAGGGGAAAGCTAAAGACTTTTGTTAATTTTATTGCATTCTTGAATCAGAAAAACATCCCCCACATCCCACTATCAGTCAAGCACTTGAAACTTTATAAATCTGGTATTAAAGAATATCATATCATATCATATATTCAGGGAATGGAAGAGCTGTTTCCAATTCTTTCTTACTTTTTTTTTTTTTTTTTTTTTTTTTTCTTGTTTCAAACATATTGGTGGTGCACTGCTGCTGGAGCCAACAACTCAACTGTAAACATCAGCAGCCTCCCCACTTACACAGTGCCCTCATTTATTAGGGGATGGATAGGATTGTGGTGGTATGCCTAATTTCCCTTCATTTCCTAATAATTCCTAATACCGGTGTGGATTTAATTGCTACGTAAATATAAAATATAGTTGTGTCATCGCTATCAGCTATAACTTTTAGCACAATGAGCATTAGAACTGGCCATGGGATTCTCATTGGTTGCTGCTAATTAACACTCATCATCTATCTTCCCACTCATCCATCCCATTTACTTGAACAAAAAAAAATATGTTTGAGTGGTTTGGCTTTACTTTTTATGTTATTGTTTATAGTGTGGTTGAAGCTTTTTAAGGTGCCTAATGTAGACAAGAAGGAACATCACAACACTTTTAGACAAAGCAAGTACTGATTGGGGTTGGGGTGTGAGAGATAGATAGATAGATATGAGATATATAATGAGTGGGCAGTGGGCAGTGGGCACACATGATATCTAACAGAGGACAAATGGACAATTTTTTATACACATTGGTTGGTCCCAAGTACAGGTTAAAGAATAGGGGAAAAGTAGTCCTAAATGTAATAATCCCTATCAAAGACTAGGTAGATAAAAGAGTCCTATGTTTTTGTAAATGTTTATGCTTTTTCCCATCCCCCTTTTCCTTTGAAAGTTGTACATTCCAACAGTGGATGGTACAAGGACTAGAGAGGTGAAAGTGACACCACACCCCTCACTATACTCCAAGTAAATGGACATAGTTGGTATGATCACCATATGGAAATCTATAATTTTTGTGTTGTCAACAACTTGATGCATAAATACAGAAGCTTTGGTCCCACCACCCATGGACCATATACATACATTTTTCCTCCTAAAATCAATTCCCAGTGCCCATCAAATATAATGCTCCTCTCATAAACACATTAGAAGGTGGAATTTCTTGTTCTAGTTTCACCCAACTTGGTTGATTTGACAACAACATTCAACATTCATTCATGTTTAACATTTAATAATCATGGGTTGGCCGGCAAACTATGTTTCACATACATAAGTCCTCCTAATTGGGCTAAGATTATTAATTTAAGATTTATCACTATCTGTGACAGTGACTAGAATAAGTTGACAATTCAATCAATCACAATTCACAAGTTGAATGGAATGGTCCACACACACATTAATGCTGCCTGCCTGCATATGCCAATAACTTTTCAAGCTGGAGATGGAAATCAAACCTGATGCTTTACCAAACAATAGTGCCCACTTTTGCCGTGAACGGAAGCTTTTCATTTCTGCAATCTTTCACAACTTCTTGTATCCATACGCTTATCCCTGCACATCAGGCATCTCACATGCTTGGTATTTTCAGTACTTACACAATGTACAAAATGACAGCTCAACAAGGATTTGTTAGATGGGTCAGGCTTTGTAAATTATGTTTAATCTCATCACACAAAAAAAACCCCACTCCTCCGTTCCTAGATAATATAAACCAAAATGTCAATTCAAGCATGTAGTTCACCTCTGCCTGACAAGCATAATTATCTGCCCCATAATCATTCCACCAAGTTTTACTCACTATTCCATGCAGGTAAAATGTAGGACTACTGTAGCATGTTTCATGAGGATTAGAAGAAGATGAATGCTTTTTTTTTTTTTTTTTGTGGGATGGGAAAAAATATTGTTTGACAGAGTTGTTTATTGCCATAGCAGTCCACCATTGCAGACAAATTTCTGTATCTTAGTCTTTCAGTCCTAAGAGAGCAACATGAAGGAACAAGACACAAGAAATTAATGCCACTGGGCCATAACAGTAGGGGAAATCATGATCTGCAAGAAACATTGAATGATCTTTTCAAAATCTAATTTTTTGGGCTTTAATGGAGTGACTAGGCCCACCTTCACATTATCATAATGAAATGTGTGAGGTATATCCGCATATCCCTCTCAGTTCATGTATGCAATCTGCATTTGGCAATTACTTCCACCTGTATGTGTAGTATATGTGCCAAAATGTTAAATGCTCAGGCCAATGGGCCGTCACTTCAAGATAGACATTTCTTGAGATAATGTTTTCATCTTAATTCTAGATGGCCAAGGGAAAACAAATTGGGAGATAGAAAAAAAGATTGCAAGTTTACATTTCAGCAACATCATTGTTTTGTAGTATTGGTTAAGACCTGGCAATTGCCACTTAAAAAAGGCAATTTCTTACAGCCATTTGAAATGCCTCAACATTGTATATCAATCAAATGACATTGAGAAAAACGGCAGAGAGAAGATCCCTTGTTAAATTTTTTGTTCATAGAGAGTTGGATGCTCTACATACAGCTGCACTCCAAGAGGTTCAATCCTCATTGACTTGATAGGTATAATCAGCGGAGGCTGTTGCCATTGCTTGGTGTCTGTTGGAACCCATATACCTGCATCCTTACTTGTACTACTATGCGGGAGAGAGCGAAAGTAAGCTGTTATTTCCCACCTGCAATCTATCAAAGGCGATAACTTGATCACCAGATATAACCAAATTTTGAGAAGCAAAATGGTTTTGAGACCATCTTTGGTATAAATCATCTACATCTGTGCCAAATTTACACAGTTCTCACAGAAACTATCACATAAAATATCAAAACATCCTAGATCAAAGTACCAGAAATATCGACTGTGTTTCAAGTTTCAACTCTAACATGTGAATTTCAACATTATGGTTTCTCATGTTCCAACTAAAAATGTAGTTTCCTGCAGGGAAAGACAGGGGTTTAAGTAAAGTTACAGTCTGGAAGATGGTGCAGATGGGTGGTCTCAGCTAGTACATGCAAGTTTTGGACTATTATCAATCTTTAATTACTTGTGTACTTGATTTGCTAAACTCTATTTTTAAGCCATTGTACAGTACTAAATTATAGTTGTGGATAATGAAAATGTTTTGTGCACAAGAGCATAGATAGGTATAGCAGACAAGATAAAATAGATAAGATATTCTGATACCTTGAGGAAGAGTCTGGGTCAGAGATTGTGAAATGGGAAGCTTGATGAAGAAAGACCTAAGTGAGAACTCCAGCTCAGCTTCTTCCACCATTGAACCATAAGACTGGTTCACATCTATCTTGAACACAAATCTCTCAAAAGGAACACTTTTGCTATCAAACAAAATAACTGCAACTCTCTCCACTTGTCCCTAAATCCAAATTTACCATTACTATTTTCTAAAATAAACTTGAAGTCTGATCTAGCCATGAAATTTAGAAACCTTTTGGATAAAAGGAAGGAGGCCAGTGACAGAGGAGTGAATATAGTCTCTCAGCTCAGGATGCCGAGCTTTATGCACCACAAGATTCATGTAACGCCGCCTCTCAAACGCCCCTGAAAATCCAACAAAATTCCTGCCTTAATTATTTATTCAGATTAAATATGGCGAGAAAGAGAGGGAAAAGTCACTGCAATGATTTACCATTTGGGTAGACTCCTTTGAGGAAGATAACGGAGGTGATGGCAGCTTCCAAAAATTCTACCAGAATCCGAGCTGTTTGACCTGCAAATGGTAAAAAAAAATTGAAGACGAAAGTGGGGGATTTCCAAGATGGAATTTTGATCGGAGTGAAACATACCTTGTGGATTTTGTTTATCTTTTCGATCCATATTCATCCGTCGCAGTTTCTGTCGACTTCCTCAACTCCTTCCCTGTCGGCTTATTTTCAACTTTTTTTCTTTCTTGCCTCGCGTTTCTATGATTTTATTTTTTTTACAGTAATATTTAATACGGTATACGGACTATATAAATATTAATGCTTTTTACTCTGTAATTGGATTATTAGTATGCAATTTATTTATAATATAATATAATTTAGAGAAAAAATATCTCTTTATTAGTATTATTATTAAACTGTCAAAGTTTAAGTAACAATGAGACAATACATTCGTTCATTCATACATACATAACACCGTTATCTATCTAATCCAGCATGCATTATGCATATAGAATAGAATTCATCACTATCAATATTCTGCAAATTGCAAATAATCTTCAAGCTAGGCCTGGAGATTTTGGGCTGGGCTACCCTTTCATGCACTGCACACAATCAAGCTAAGTAATTAGATACATATATTATTATGTATAAAAGAGAAATGTATATATAAAAGAAAAATACCTATGAGGGCAAGTAATGTTAGGATTGAGGACCAAAGTTGTTGTAAGCTTGCAAAAGGTTGGAAGGCGGTTGGATTTTTTGGTGTCTACAGGGAAAGCATTTGGGGCGTCTTTGTAGCAGAGACAGATGGTATTGTAATTGCGTTTTGACGAAGCAGCAAACTTATCTAACACTCTGGCTCCATTGCAGCATGAAACGCTTGGTTTTGGGGCAGTGCCGCCGATGCTCAAGAACTTCTCGCAAGGTATTAGTTTTCGGATGTAGTCTAAGCATTGGGGAGTTAAAGCAGATTCGCCATCATCGACCTTAACCAATGCTAAAACAAGAATAACCCATACCCAGCAACCCAATCCCAGCTTTTGATTCATGGCGGTTATGTTAAGGATCGGAAGATCAGCCGGCCGAATCGGAGGTGGAAGCTAAGATGATATATGTTTTCCGGCCGCCCAATTTCCACCAATTCAATATAATCCACTCCATTTGTATGTACGTTTAAGCTAAGTGGGTTCCCCACTAGTAATGAAATTATGGCAGTGATATATATATGAGTTGAGCATGACATAAGATACCATGAACTGAATTAACGAACACAAATCTGCAAACCATTTCCAATTTCCAAACACAAGTATGTAGAAGATGGATGGGTGAAAATCACATGAAACTAAATTAACAGAAAATGGTCACAAAGTAAATAAGTAGTGATATCCAAAACTAAAATCAAAATTTTGGCAATAACTCAGATCAACACTAGAAGGAGCATGTAATGTAATGTAATGTAAATAACTCTAGCTATTGATGCCTTACATCTTGTCCAGAGAGGTGTATCATCTGCTCCTTCAATCACTAGACATATACTAGACTGTTAGCTTGTGAATCCGGCCTGCCCCAGTGAATCAGATGACATCATACTTGCTGATAACATTCTAATCTTATAAACGTATCTTTCAACTCCATCTATAGTTAGCTTAAGCTTTTTTTGTGATATGAATGACTAAATTATGTCTCGAGTAGCAGAGTAGGGATAATTCAGTATATTTGTTCAGGACTTCAGGAGTAAGATTTGAGCTTAATATTGTGTTTTGAGTTCATAGTTTTGTTTCAAATCTATCAAAATTCTTTGTCAGCTTCCTTTGGTGTCTTGTCTCGGTGTACTCCCATAATATCTCTTTGTTTTCTTTCTCGGTTGGCCAGGGAGGACAAGTGGACAACCTTGTTTTTCCCCTCGCATTGGATTGGATGGGGATACTAAAGTGGCATTTTAAAAAAGCTTTAGGATATGGAAATGTCACTTGTGTCAAACATAACATGCACATTCTAGGTTCTTCTCCTATCCAAACCAAACAAAAAAAATATTACAACATCCTCCATTCACAAAAATAAGCAAAGAAATCTCGTAAGTTTGCTAAAATTTGTGATGCTAACTAATGCTTGGACTGTTTGTTGAATCATTGCCCCTTGGAGGAACACTATTTTGCCTTCTTGAGGAGGTTAGATGTTCGGAACTTGGCATCGTCCTGGATGAAACTCCACCATAGGTAAGTTAGGGGGATTGTGGTGGCATGCCAAAGAGCATGTGCATCTACAAGTCCTTGATATGGAGGGAAGTCATAAATCTCTAGGAGCATTGCAAGCCCACCTCCAATCACAACAATCCACAACTTCAATCGAGAAGGATGACGACTCATTCCTGCCCAGATTGCCCAAATCATAAGTTGAGCCACACCCATGGCAACACAGACCATCATGTTCCATCCTGGCACATAGCAACAAATTCATATCAATTGAGACATAAGAAATAGAGCAGGAAGAAATTTAAAACACATTTGTTCTAGTAATTGTATAAGATAGGCAGGTGACATAACACCTAGGATTTCAGCTCACTTCCCTCCATTATTTTGTCTTTCCTTCCCCATATTCATAGCTGTTGTCTGATCTACTTTACATAATCCGTTGTAAGATGGATACATTGTGTATATTATTTTATAAAATGGATACACTCTTGTATTTTATTTACCAACAAAAGCTGTAATTATTTTCAATATAGTAAGACCGAGACACTTACCATAATCCATTTTATAATTGTTCAGGTAAAGTATGTGGGTTGTTATAAAAGCAAGAATTGGGGCAGAAACCATCACTCTGGCAGCCTCATCCCTCACATTGAAACTTCTTAGTATAGCCAGAATAAGCGAATAGCCAAGTAAGGCAACTGCAGATGAGTAGTCTAACTTTTCTGTAACATCCACATCTCTGCAATGCAGAAATTCAACGCAGTAGTTAAACCACAATGCTGAAGATTCATCTATGAAAACAACACTGGACAGAGACACCAGCATCTTGACCTGGCCAATAGGCCATACAATCAACTTGATGTACGGGAAGAACTAAAAGAAAGTATGAAATAGAATCTAAGAATCCACCACCAACAAGCATCAGAAGAACATGAATAAAAGCTCACCTGCTGTGGAAAACAGCACTCCAGAGCCATGAGTTCATAGCCAGCAGCCCATATATGAGCCAAAGGCCAGTATAATCATAGTATGGCCTCTTGTCAGCTTTAAATGGCAAGTTGTACTTAATAAGCTTGAAAAAGGACAGCCAACCGTAGAAATGCATTGCAAGGTTGAGCACCGAAAATGCAACAGAGACGGTCTCCTGAAACATTTAAGACAATACTTCAGATTGATAATAAAATTGCATACCTGTTGCTTCTATATTGGTGATCAGCTATAAGCCTATAAAACTCATAAACCAATAACCTGAAGCCCAAAGAGACGTTTGAAAGGCCATTTTCCATGGTATTTGACCGGTTCTGAACCAAGTGCTGCTCTTTCCTTTTCTCTGTCAATCATGCACTGATATCGGCAATCACCTTTGCAGCCTGATTGTTTCCACTGCAGATAGAGATGTTTTTGCATGTACCAAGTACCACCAATGGAAGAACCATCTGAAAGTAATTTGCAGTGTGGAAAACAGTTTCCCCCAGCACATCCAGTCAATTCGCATTCTGAAACACAAGCCCTGATATGGGGAGAATGTCAACTGCCTCATCACACAGGACAAAGAAATCGCCATACTGTGTGGTTTACATCCCCCCAACCCCCAACAACACACACACTTTTCCCTGTCGAAACATCAAACTTAATAAAGGGAGCTACAAGTAGCCTTGACAAATATATAATTGTATTACCTATATGATGGATCAATGTCACCAGCACTAGCATCAATCATTCCAATCAGACATGAGAATACAACAAAGAGAGTGGTCCAACAATAGCATCCCATCTGATCATAATGACAACCAAAATTGTAAGTTGAAATAACTTCACTTTATTAAATGAAATATGTTGGTACAAACTCAAGAAAACATTTGGTTTCATGATATGATGTGCGATTATCAAGCACCATATTCAGTTCACCATTCAGTTTAGATACAAGATAAGGCAAAGTTTAATCATGTCATCTTAGATGGGATAAAACAAATCAAATCATGATACAAGAGCATATCCTAACAGTTCATTAAGGCCAATGCATTATCATTAAGAGGTAAAAATGATAGTACGGTTAAGACAAGCATTTCGTAGTCAGATCGTTAGGCCAGTAGAATCGTGCTTATAATTAGAAAGGAAAAGAGCTGTATTATCATCCAAATCAATCCACAGAACAGGATATACAATAAATAAAAAATTTCAATTCCAAACAAAGCTCATCGACATTAACGCAAGGCAACAAGATCGTAATCAATACGGACATTGTAAGAGATCTCATCAATACATACAGAAAGTGATAATTGCGTGAAAAGAATATGAATGAATCTTGATAGCTTACTTAGAGAAACAATTAAATCAAGCTAACTACACTCAAGATTATCTTCGTATTCTACGCCAGATGGAGAACAGTTTTGAAAGATTATGAAGAAAAATAAAAAAGAACAGGAAATAAAGCAGTTCGGAAACTCACTTTGGATTGTAGTTGGAAATGATATTGGATTGCCTTCCAAAATAAGAAAATACAGTCAAGTACTCTTCATCTAAGTCATAGTGTCCGAAAGATGAGAAATCGCAGACACACTCGCTCTCGCTCAACTTTTATTCTTCTCCTTCTCTTCTGTAAGTTAGTGCTACTTGGGCCAGATTTCTACCCGGGCCCAATTATAAAGTACTGTTTGAATCAGTTCTGAAGATGCAATTGGGCTGTATAGGATGCATGATGCATCATGAGATTTTTTGACGGAAAATACTATGGCCTCTTTGGTAAATGCCGGTTAGTTGGTGTTTGGTAAATTAGCTGTTAGCTAATAGCTGTTTGGTATAATTTTTTTTTCAAAAAATTAATTGAAAAAGTTACTTTGAGTAGCCTTTTGAATTTTAGCATTGTGAAGTTACAAAGAGCTAATTAACCAAACAATTATATTCATTTTCTAACCAAATCAAAAAACTAATAGTGGTCAAATAAGTTAAAATTAACTTATAGGCTAACTATTTTACCAAACAGGGCCTCTGTCAATTTGGTAAAAATAATTAGTCTATCAATTAATTTTGGCTTATTTGACTTATTATTAGCTGTTTGACTTGGTTAAACAATCAATATGAGTGTTTAATGAATTAACTTTTTGTAGCAACTTATTGCTCTAAAATGCTAAAAAGTTCAAAAAGTTGCTCAAAGTAGCTTTTTGATAAGCTTTTTATAAAGTCATTTTGTATATAATCAGTTAACAGCTAATTTACCAAATGTTTTTCTACAATCAGCTAATGTTATCAACTAGTTAAACCTACTAATATAATCAGCTAACGACCATTTATCAAACACACCCTATGTGTACTCTCATTTTCTACGCCCAACTTTTATTTCCACATACAAAATATTGATATAGACATTTGTATTAGAACTCGATCACATGAAAAAAAAAGTAATTTATCATTGTCCACCACATAGTAAAATTCGATCAAATAGTAAAATTTGAGAGTACATGTACTATATTATCACAATAAGTGTATTTCAAAATGAATAGTATTATTTGCATACTTTAATTTGTATACACTTCGCCAAGCACCTTGTGCTCAGATGGCACCCGGGTTGGACTCCCATATGGGAGGTTGTGAGTTTGAGCCTCGGTGAAGTAGTTATTGGCTCTACTACTCTGTAATAAAGTCAGTAGCCTCCCAAGAATTGGCTCTACTACTCTGAAATAAAGTCAGTAGCCTCCCAAGAATTGACTATTTACATGCATTTATTAGAATAATGTGCTTTATATGTGTTAGAATAATAAAATTTATAGGGTAAGATCGGATAATGTATTTTATGAGTTAGAGTAATGTACTTTATGTGTCAAAAATAATAAAATTTTTGGGGTAAGATAATGTATTTTATGAGTTATAATCATATACTTTATGTGTTAGAATAATATATTTTATTAGTTAGAATAATGTATTTTATGTGTTTTTTGACCGTGGTCCGGATCATTGTCCACACAATAATGATTGTAAATAGTCCCTTGACTATTAACCTTTATACGGAGTATTAATTTTCATTTCAGACTTTTAATTTGACCATAAGTGGTCCCTTAAGTATTGATTTTGGATTTCATTAAAGGTATAAGAAGATTAGCCGAATTTATTCTCTTCTTTCTTTTTTTTTTGATAGACGAGTAATACAAATTTGATTATTCAGATCCATTTAATAAACATTAAATTTAAAGGTAATAATAATGTCAAATTTTAGTTCTTTGCATTCACACTAATGATCAACCCAATGTATTAAGTTTATGAACCTAATTTATCCATCTCAACAAGAAGTCAATTTTTACATTATTACCCTTAAATTTAATGTTTACTAAATGAACAAATATTTAACTGAATGTTCAAATTTAGAACAATATAATGTCAATAGTTAAGACTCAAGAGACCATTTATTATCAAATTAAAAGCTAAAGTTGAAAATTGGTAAAGATCAATAATTAATATAATGGACCATTTATCGTTCCATTGAAAGTTGATAATAAAAATGGGTAAATGTCAGGATATTTATGTGTAATTAACCTTTTTTTTTTTTTTAAATAATAATGCTGACTGATTTTATCTATACCCTTGTTGATGAGACACCATTATTCACTATAAATGTGTTTTATTGTTTAACTTGATCAAATCAGTAGAATTGATCAAATCTGATCTACACAAAAATTAATAAAAATACCATTTACTAAACAAGTTAGGTTTAACTTGATCAAATTACTAGCTAGAATTGATCAAATCTACAAAAATAAATAAATAAATAAATAAAAATACAATTTACTAAACAAGTTAGGTGTAAGCTAAGTATGGATGTCCAATATAAACAGGCATGTTACAAGGAGTATGAAACACAGTATGTAGGTGTCCATCCAACTATTGAAGAAAGAAAAGGATAAGGAGAAAACAACAAGAACGAAGACCGACAAATTAATTTAAAGCTGATCGTAATTATCAAAGTAATGGTATGTATAGTATCTAGGGATGAGTGGAAAACCCTAGAATAACAGATCTCAGCTCTTCCCAATCTGCATGCTTCGGGAATCCATTAATTATTTCTGGAGTTGCAGACGTAAAACTGGACAGCAAGGAATTCGCAGCAGGAGGTAGTGGATATGGAGATTGAGAAACATGATTATTATTGTTTATCTGCTGCCCTCTAAGCAGTTGCTGCTGGTGGCTGCCATAGATGATATGATAATCAACGTTGTTATCATTAGGATTATCGACATTAACACTAATGCCGCCAAAGGGTCTTCTCGCTTCATGGTTGTGCTTAGTAAGATTAACGTCGTTGAGTGGATTACTGAAACTAATGTAGTTTTCCTGCAGCAGCTGGTTGCCACCGGGCGACTCGTTGCTGCATGTTTCTGCAGAGGGATTAGTACTGTTTCTCTTTGCCGCCGTTAATTCTTTCCACTCCGACATGCTCTTGCGCTTCAAAATTCGACAAAGTGTCCAAACTTCCTGCACATAAATTAAACAAACAAAAGATGAGTATGTAATTAATAACTTGGTAATTCATAAACTTAGTATATATGTACGTGGGTAGGTCATGTAGAAGATATATATCAGAGGTGGTTTGAATTAGCAGTTTCTTACAGCTTCTTGAGCGATGTTTTTAGGATGAGTGGGGATGGCGGCGGAGCTGCTCTTATGATGCTGAGGTGGAAGCCGAAACTCGTGCATCATCCATTCGGTTTTGGTGCCTTTTCCGGCGCTTCCTCGGTAGTAGACCAATGACTTTTTCAGACCGATGCAGTGGCGGCGGCCGGCTGCGGCGGCGTGAATTTCGCGATCGATGCCGGTGGCCTTCCAGAATCCGGAGCCTGTCACCCTATTAGGTCTGATACTGTTCTTGTATTTCCTCCCTCTTTTGCAGAAGAAATACCATTCATTTTCTCCCACACTACTGGCAGTCTCTGAACGTCGCGTGTATTCACCTCCCAAACAAATCAGAAAAGCTAGAGTTAGAGCCTATTTAGCAAGAGATCTATCGAAAAATTCATGTTACACATCCATCGTCTACTATATATACCCATAGTCCTCCCTCTCTCTCTCTCTCTATATATATATACACACACACAAACACATACTTTGAATTACAAGCAATTAAAAAGATATATAGTATATATGATGATGGAATTGAAGAAGATGAGATGAGATGAGATGAATAACATACTAGGAAGATCCCAAGGATCGAATTTGTAGATGTCAATCTGCTTGATGAAGTCGAGGGGGAGGAGTCTGTTCTGGACTTTCCTGAGAAGATAAAACCCTACGAGCTCCTCATCGGTGGGGTGAAACCGAAATCCGGGAAGGAACATATCATCGTCATCATCATCGTGTTTTTGGTTATGTTTGTCAGAGGCTAGGTTTTCCATGATTGGGAGGTGGATGGATGAACTTTAATTTGTTGGCTCTTTGGTTCTGTCGGAGCTCATCTCAACCAGCAATAATATATGAAGATATTGACGACGACGACGGAGACGGGAGAATAATGAATCCAACGTAAAACTCCAGGTTAATTAGGTTTGTTTATATGTGCAAATTAATTAATAAAATCATATATAATATATAAATTAATGGAGTGGTCGAGGATTGGAGGACTAGCTAGCTAGCAGGCTGGGGCAAGTTGGTCAAAGTCAGGAGGATTGACCTTCTTGTGTGCAGGTCATTGAAACATACAACTACTGGAAGATCATTGAAGTCACGCATACAAGTCCAGCTGATCATTACAATACAGACCTCAATTTTGAATTTTCAATAACAAATTAAAAGAAATTTCTATTATATATATATATATATATATATATATATATATATATATATATATATATATATTGCTACTTTTCCATCAAATATAATCATACCTTGTTATTCCCAAAAGTTGAATCATGTAAATCACATTGTCCCTGGTGAGACTCAATACCAAGTTATTGTTCTCAAATTTTACCATTGTAATCAACTGAGCTGCCTATGCGGATATTTTGTAATGATGATGATATTGTAGGTCAACTTTGATATGATCTTCATAGGACCAACCTGATTGGTTCTTGGTGCATGCAAATATCATTCCTGTTGAGCATCTTAAAAATTTCCTAGTAGTTAGTAATACACTCAAATAACATCACATGTATGATTGCACCTAGCTAGCTAGTACAATGCAAATTAACACAAAAGACCATTTATACCTTAAAACATTCCTCCCACCCGCCCCATCCTCACACATATATAATTAGCCCCTTAGCTTCTCAACAAACAAAATACAAATAAAGTTACTAAGCTTAAAATTCATAGATGATCTTAAATCCGTAACAACCAACCAATTAAAGAGTGTTGCACTGAGTAAACTTAAAGGTTTGACTAAAAAAGTATTAACAAATCATGTGTTACCTATCTAAATACCTCTTTTGGAGTTTGGAAAATTTTAATTTAATGAGTACATTGCATGTTTAGGAAAATGATATATCAAATTATGTTATTTATTATTTATCTTAAATATATTAATATTTTATTGTGTTTGCTGTCACTATATTTGAGCTATCAAAATTCCTATGTTACTATTCATTCCGCCAATTAACAGGTTCCATGTACACTAGGAAGGATTGCCAATTCATCGTCACATTTGATCTAACATTTTAAAGTCGCAGGATATTAGGACCAGTACGAAATGTGAATGTTTTGGAGACACAGGCACCAACTTTTCATAGATACGTGGAAAGAATGGTATAAGGCAAGAAAAAACCCAGGGGCAATGTCAAATCAAATTATATATTATTAACTAAAAATGTATGTTGGTTTCATGACTATGGGATAATTAACGGTAGGCCAACATTACTGGATATTCAACGAATAATGTATGGTATATTGAACAATATTGTATGATTTATGGTATGTTTTAACAGTATCGTATAGTGGAAATGTAGAATAATAATGACTTTATGAACAATACACCGAGGTGAATCACAAATTGACTACTTAAATACAAGTCAACCAGAGATTTTTCTAGACATGTGAAGGATTGCACCGCACTTACTACATGATTGCATCACATTCGGATACGATTGCACCGCAAAGTCTTTTAGGCATGTCTGAGAGCCGTAGCAGTATAATTATGTAGTAATTGCGGTGCAATCCTTCGCAATTCACATCAAAGTTAGTTCTAACCTAATTTGAAATATATATGTATATATATATATATATATATATATATATATATAGTCGAGTTCAGGTGTGGTCGCGCCTTCCCGTGCGGTCAATGCGGCCGCACCAATAGTTATACAAATATACACCATCCATGTTAGGAAACACACAATAAAAAACATGCACAAATTAGGTACACATCACAAAAAACGCACCATTAGGTAGGAATAAAAGCACCACACAGTGTTCGAAAATACACCATTAGGGGTGGGGAATTATATGGTGCATTTTTTTGTGGTGTGTTTGTGTGTTTTTTGGTGTATTTGTGCATTTCATTGTTGTGTTTTTTCCTAACACTATGGGTGTCTTTTGTTAACAATGTTGGTGTATTTTGTCAAGCGACCACACGAGGGGCGTGGCTGCATATGAACAAAAGTCTATATATATATATTATGGGTGTGGGGATCGGAGGAAAATAGAAAAGTCACCTACGTACTAAATAAGTAAGATGAAAAGTAGTAGAGTGTTAGAAAGAAATCAAAGCCAATTAATTGACTAATATATAGCTACCCGTCCACTTAATTGCAATTTGAAAGCTAAGGTTAAGAGTTATCCAGGGATTAAAGTAATTGATTTAGACTTAATTGGAATGGCAATGCATATCCTCTTTGCTCTTTGTTAGTTAGGTCTCTACGTACCCTTTCGTCATTTTTATTTAATCTTTTATTTATATTAAAATGCAAATAATATAATGAACCATGATTTCTTCTAGATAATCCACTGCACAACATGAAAGCATCTTCTCATTAAAATAAAAATCAAATTAGTATATAATTTATGGTGCAATGCTTATGTAGTCGAGTTGACAATATATATTTGATGGTAAAAATGTAACTAGAAAATAATGAATGAGATGAGATAAATGTAAGAGTAAAATAATGAATTCTGGTAATTATATTACTTAAAAAGTTTGAAGCTATTAAAATTTGAAAGGGCAGCCGACCAGCAGAATATATGGACAGTAAACCTCGTCGCAGTCGAAAACATCCTTAAGTTCCACTTTCGCATGCTGGACTGGGTCATATTTCACCAATCTTTTGAACATGTTTTTTTAACCAATTAAACCATGACCATATCATATCGTATGATATGATCAATTCCATTAAATAAATATTATTAATTTATATTGAAGAAATTTAATTGAGCAAATACCAATTTTGATCCCACGAGTATTAGCAAAATGACGATTTTTATTCACATGTTTAATTCCTACCATTTTTCATCCACGACTATTGTTTTAGTACTAATTTTAATCCACAGCTATTATTTTAGTACCAAAATTCATCACGTCAGTCACCCATCTATTTAAGACATCCCGAAATCTAAAAATTTTAAGGACATTTTCGTCTTTTTCAACTTAAGATTTCAATTTGAACATAAATAAATGAATTTAAGTCCTAAGATCGATCCCAATTCACAGTTCTCCTCTTCATCCTACCTTAATTTGAGGAGAAAAATTGCGAATTGGGATAAATCTTAGCGCTTAAATCCCTTTATTCATTCTCAAATAGTGATCCTAATTTGAAAAACACGAAACTACCCTTAATAATTTTATATTTCAGCATGTCTTAAACGAAGGGGTAGCCGGCGTGATAAATTTTGACACTAAAACAATAATCGTGGATGAAAATTGGTAGGAATTAAACACGTGGACCAAAACTGTAATTTTGCTAATACTCGTGGGACTAAAATTGGTATTTGCTCAAATTTAATCCATGAATCTAACTAAATGCTGTAAAATTTAACAAACATGCAACGTATAGCATATAATTAACAGCAGCTTACAGTTGAGAGACGTAATCAGAACAGCACGTGGTTTGGACTATTTCTATATTTACCAGCAGCAAGTCTAAGGCCCAAGAATTGATGGAGGCCCCAGCCGAATTTGGGCTCCATGTTGGAGGTGATTGTTGATTTGAGTTGGTCAGTTATAAGAAATTTAGGATGATTTATTTTTTTGTGATTTTTTGTCGGCTTGAATCATATGATTGTTCACTTAGAATGAACCCAGATAGTAGCAGTAGTTGTGAACTTTTTCGTAAATCAAAGAATTGATGAAGGTTGGGCTAGAAATATGAAATATGAAATAGAAAGACAAATAGAAGGACCCAAAAAGGAATGAAAGAAATGGTCAAAGTCGTTAGTCAAGTCATAGGTGATTAACTGGGCATGTTTGAACTTAATCTCCAATTTTATAATCCTTAAGACCAACTTTGTTAGCCATTTTGGAACTTCTCTTGTGTCCATCTCCTTTTACTTTTCTTCTTCCTAGCTGGTCAAGATTTAATCGAGTTTGAATTGACAAGTTTAATTGTAAACTTTTTTTGTTTGTTTGGACTATTATAATTAGTTTTATTGATAAGTTCAATATCAACTAAATCAACTTACAGATACTAAGCATGGACCGAGGGTAGGTAGGGTGTAAAATAGGGGTGAAATGTCAAAAGGTGTTTGTATGAATGTAAGTAAGGTGGATACAAATTAGGAAAGTTCCACCAGCAGAATTTTAGCAAGTGATATAGCAGAGAGAGTTGAAATTAGAGGATAGGATACATGATGAGAGTTTGACAAATGCATGCAGTGGAGAGTGACTTTGTCCCCTAGGTTGAATTCTAGACATTTTTAGAAGCTTCTTTAGCCGCAATAGTTGACAGATATCATAAGATGCATATACAAGGGAGAAGTTTCATATTGAAAATGCAACATTAAGGTTAAAAGATTTAGTACTATGTAGTATGTATATGTAATTCATGTTACAGATCGAGCTCTGAATCAGGCCTTTCTTCGAATAAGAATTGAACTTTAATTTGTTGATACATTCATGTTTACAATTGTGTATATGCAGACGTCAAGAACTTCCCAAACATTCTACCTCGTAACATCGAACTAATCTGAGGCCACCATATTATCCCTCCGACTTTCCCGAATGTGAATAGCCATTTGGAAATATTTGTTCTCCTACATGGAGCCATGCATCTGAATCCTTCTCAACACTCTTCTCATATCTCAGCAATATCCCAAATAGTATCTTCCCCTGTTCATATGTAAATCGTAATAAGAACAAAATCAGTCCAGAGAATGTATTAATGGTTACAAATTAAGTTATGGCTAACCTAACCTTAACTCTCCTATACGCCGCTAGAGTAGCCAAAGGTTCGTTCGACCTTTGCACCTTGTCACCTTGCAAATATATGTTGATCAGTTGGCACCTATTGCAGCCACCAAATGACTGCAAAAAAGATGATGCCAAAAGGACGAGCACACAGATCAGATGGTTAAAAACGTCTCACAGGCTTTAAAAAAAATGTTCTACAGTTGCCA